CGACGACTCGTGCATCAACAGGCACGTCGAATTGGACGCGATGTACATCAACATCAGAGAAGCGTGGAAGAGACGGCAGCCTACCCGGGCTGGAGGAAGCCAAAGCCAACCACCACCGACTGCACAATTAGATGCAGTCGACAATTAGTCCCCAACCGAACGCATAATTAAATGCGGGTAACAACTAAATTGGTCATTTTCATTCCGACCCACTATATTAGTCCCTCTTAGCCATCATTGTGGATTAACTGTTTCGTACGATTCCCATCCGTCTGCTGACGACCTGGTGAGCCACTGTCGAAAATTCACTCAATAAACAACATTTTCCCCAAGAACTTCTACTACCGAGTCATTGGGTATCTTTCGGTTTTAAAGTAACGTTCTGAATAATTTTGAACGCAGATTTAGGGTTGACCGGCGATGGCTAGTAAGTCGAGAATGGTAATCCCAGTGTGCATTGTCTTTGTTGGCACGCCTTATCTGTTAGGACTGTAAGCTACTTTGTAGCCCAGGCTGTCTTGAGTTCTGTCCTTTTCGTAGACCCTTCTAGTGTACTTTATGCTTTATCCTTTGACAGACACTGACCGATGAACAGAAGGTGAAGGTGACAATTCTGACAAGCCAGAATATACCTCGTACTCAGGCAATAACCCTGTTAAAGTCCTGCGGTTGGGACACAGATGCTGCCTACCTCAAGTACCAACATACCATACCGTAGCCTCGCTGTGCGTACGCACGCGCGCACCTGATTGGACGTCCTGCCATGACTGCGTATACCTCGTCCTTTCAATTGCTGCCCCCCCCACGCTTGCCTCATGTCGTCATGCCTACCTGCCTGCTAACCACGCATTTACCGGCAGTGTTGTAGGATCTACGCGTAGTTAATCACACCCATGCCTTCTAATGCCTTGCACCCATCCACCCACCTGCTTGCTTCTTTTTTAGTTTGTGATTGTTATTTTTTGCTTTTTGGTATCATTTTAAGGCGCCGGGTTTGTCTCATCCGGCATATTGTATAAGCACGCACACACATATATGTATTACTGTTTTGCGTTATGATTCATTTTGACATAAAGTATGTCTCCGTTGATGGACCTTCTCTTCCCACTACTGGCGCATTCTTGCACCGCAAATAGGCTTGAAAAAAAACGGGGGGGGGTCAGGTCTAAAGCATTTGTTTCCCTGGTGTACACTTAAAGATTGTATAGACAGCAGAATTTAATGGGAGCACTAAATTTCGCAGGTGCTTTTCAGCTGCGGCCCCTCGTTGCATGCCATGAATAACTTATGAGAGAGAGAACAATAATTGACTTCGTAGATAAAAAAACCAATACAAACAACAAGGTCATGGAAAATGGCCACGGAGGCTAATCAATAACGTAAGCAAATTCAAGCACAGCGGGAAACCAATGTGGAGAAAAAAGATTTTAGGCTAAATGTTAGGTGGAGAGATGGGTAAATCCGGGAGCCGGATGTTACAACGGCAAAGTTGGGTTCATCACGTGCTCCAACTGTTTCCATAGGCCGGGTTTAAACGGCCGTGTATAGGCTGCCTCCAGGTAGCGCAAGGTACGAATTGTTCGTGTCCGAAGAAGTACTCGAAAGGATATTTTGGGGTCCACAGAGTGACACGTATCAAGCACGTCTTCAGTAGTAGATAAACGTGGAATCCTGTTTTAATAGCCATCTAGGCAAGTGCACTTTGGATCTACCTGCTAATTGCCGTTGCATTCGCCCTATGTAATTGCATCCGCAAGTGCATTTAAATTCATAGACACAGTTTGAAGTGGCAAGGCTGTTTTAACGAATGCCC